TGACCCAAACATACCACAATATTCCTAACAGCACATTCTTACTTACCTTTCTTACTACAATCACCATAATACCTCATTGTCTCTATGAAAGTCCTAACTAGTCCGCATATGTACAATTCATTGTCTGTGGGGGGAGGGGGAATAAAACAATATTTTAAAAACTAGCCCCAGTGAGTATTTACAATATGAAAACAAAACTAAGAAGAGCGATATTTATTTTGATATATACACGGAAATGTGGCACAAGGCCAAAAAGAGAATTGGGGAAAGGACGGTCTTCTTCTGTCTTAACGATAACTTAACTAGCAACAAGCATTGGCCCAACCATACAAACAATATTCCTTACACCAAAACATCACGTTCTTACGTACCTTTCTTACTACAATCACCATAATACCTCATTGTCTCTATGAAAGTCCTAACTAGTCCCCATATGTACAATTCATTGTCTGTGTGTGGGGGAGGGGGAATAAAACAACAATTTTAAATCTAGCCTCAGTGAGTATTTACAATATGAAAACAAAACAAAGAAGAGCTCATCCGAATATTTGCCATAGAAGTATTTCTCGAAAGGACACAGGAAGGCAAATTTACCGTGGAAGAAAAATAACTGAAGCCGAGCCTTAAGATCAGGACCAAAAATATTGCTGATTCTTCTTTGGATTTTATCAAGGATCTCTAGATATAAGGTAGGAGTACCAGACCATATGCGGCAGGAATATTATTAACAAGTTCGAATGGTAGACTTAGAGATATGTAAGATAGATTCAGGAGAGAAAAAATCTTGCCAAATAAAGATCATTCACTTGCGTGGACGCAGCTCTCTTGCTTGTTTTTTGGGTATTGCCTGCTGACGTTTTCTTTTTACTTTTTTAATCATTTCATAATAAATTATTCCCTACCAATCCCTCCAAATAAAGATCATTCACTTGCGTGGACGCGATTCTCTTCCTTGGTTTGGGGTATTGCCTGCTGACGTTTTCTTTTTACTTCTTTTAATCATTTCATAATAAATTATTCCCTACCAATCCCGCCAAATAAACATCATTCACTTGCGTGGACGCGGTTCTCTTCCTTGGTTTGGGGTATTGCCTGCTTATTGAGACTCGCCTATTTTTTCTCTGATTCATATTCAAATAAAAACAGCATTTTTCGTCTCCGATGATAATACAGTAAAGGGAACTTTCTTCATATCCATGACGATCCTGGTTTTCTCTGAGTAAAATGGCAGCAGTGGAAGAGCGTTGGAATTTGTTTCTTTCGATCAGTGTGCCGGGCTCCAATGCGCCGTATTTCTGGAACATACTCATTGAGTGAAGTTTACGACAGTAAAATGACCAGAACAATTTCAAAAGATGACCAGTATTACTAAGAAGCAAAAAATGCTACAAAAGATAATTCTTCGAGATCATTGGCAGAACGTCGTAAAAGATGAACGAATATATGTAACCAACTAATAATTAATGAATCAGTTTATGGAGACTGACACGCGATCATAGAATTTCTTACGATCAATTTAACGATCGCATTTCTATTCACTGCTTGCCTGATTGACTCACCGTTGAAATTTAAATCATAAAAGCAGAAATAAAAGAAGGAAAAACGAAACACAAGATTTATGTTAATTTTCAATATTCATTTGACATTTTTCTCAGAGCCTTTCAGCTTCGTTGGCATAAATATTAAATGAAGCCGTGAGTAACCATTACAGGTGATAAATATTGCAGCTTTACGTTTAGCAGTTACTCGAAGTGAGCCAAGAGACGGAAAGAATTTAGCGAAAGAGGTAGACTGCTTTGCGAAAGCGCTCTTGAAAACGAACAGATATTTATTTCATCTGCAAGGTGTATTTTTCTATAAGAATATGAAAATAGGGTTTTAGAGAAACATTTTAGAATTAATAGTCTTCTATATGCCTCGTCTCTCAACATCCTATCAACCTTGTAGCTTGTAACGTTTGTCCTTCTGACACCCTTTCCAATCACTTGTTCCCGCCATCCACTCACACAAGCTCGTCAGGTAGGTGACTCGCAGCATTACCCTGCTCCTTTTGTTTCTTTCTAATTCTAAATAAAATTATCTTTCTCCTTACTCTAGTATTTATCGAAAATTCCCGACATCCTTCTGTTGCCTCTGGTCTCGTCTTCATCTGCGAGGAAAATTGTCCAGCATTCACTGCCACATGAGGGGGGGACTGATATTGTATAGCCACTTAACAATCTTTTCTTTGAGGTTAAGGAAATTTTCTAAATTGTTAAATCTGAATATTTCAGAGTCATATCTAAAAGATGCACAAGTAACTTTTTTCAGTGATTTGTATTTTTACGGTTTATCAACCCTTTGAAGGTCATTTAAAGCAGAAACATATTTAGAATTACAGAGTTCGCTTATAATACGTTATTATAGTTCCCAAGCGCTCCCACGTGTAAGTACTGACTACAACCTGTTGCAAAGTCAGTTCGACCCCGCTTAACTTCGGCGATCGAGCGAAAATAGGTGTTTTTGAGATCATTTTTGTTGAATTGTCGATTATTACTATACATGGTTGACATTGATCAAATACCACCGTGAAATACCGAGACTATATACCAAAAACAACATTGCTAGAATACTACATTGAAATACGAAGGTTTCATAGCCTACCAAAAACATATGTCGAATTGAAATCATTCCCTGAGACTGGTGAAAACTATAGCAAGAAATTAAGTCCACTTCTTCGAACACTTAGACATAGACATATTAAACATTTTGGCGAAGAACTAACATATACATAAGTATAAAAGATTAACTAGCGACTACTTTAGATATTAATTCCCTAGGCATTAACGTACATATTAGCAAATCAGCATTCTCTTAAGTGTATATAAATTATAAAGATTCCTGATATTACAAACTAATGTTATTTCTCTTTCGATAATGAACTGTATAGATAAAATTAGGATAACCAATGAGATCACCTCTTGGTTAGATTTTGGTTAGTTCATAATTTTAAGGATTTGGTCACTTCCAAAAATGTTTACCTAAACGATCAATGTATTTTCAAGAATCTATTGATATTCTGTTGTTTGAATTTATAATAAACTAAACAAAACTGAATATACAATGGAATTGAGTTTATTTTGTTTTTTTTTAACGGGATATCAACTCCGTATGGGTCATTTAATGCCGAACTTAAATTTTATTTGAAGATTTAAAGTAATATGATATGTTATTCTGTTTTCACACCTGAGTACATGGTAGATGATACTCAGAATTTGTACATAAGCATGTTGTGTGGACAAAATTACTAAAGACGGTGATATGCCCGTTTTATTCGGTAGATTTGTTGAAGTTAAATTATGAAATACAGTTGGATTTCTTTAAGAAATTTTAGGATATTATACAGGTTAATATGAAAGATTTCTTTCATGTTGTTTCTTTGCTTGATTTTGTTTAGCGGCGTATCAACGCCTCTATGGTTTATTTAATGCTGAATTATGAATATTTTGAATAAAGTTTTATGGCTTCAACTGAATGTATTTTGAACAAAATTGTATGCCTTCAACTACACATAAAATGTATTGTTACTCATTTTACTATAAAATGTATTGTTGGTAATCTCTATCTATAAAAGGCAGGATGTGTGTGTGTGCGTGTGTGTAATGAATGCACGGCCACAATTTTTGACGGATTTGCACCAAAATTTACATGCACTTGCTCCAAGTTAGTGGGAAGGCCAAGACCGACTTTGCATTGCCTAACTCCCATCGATAGTGGAAATAATCGATTTTTTTCATGCTTCTACGGCAGTTTTCATGTAGTTTGCGGCCATTTTCTACTGGCCAGAGTGAGAGAATATAGCTGGCTGCCACGAATAGGCAGGAAGATTCTATTGGCCACTTTACTCCAATTGTCTCATTCGCTTGATTAAACTCAACGTTGATTCTGATTCCGCAGAACTGGGTTGGGTGTGAAAAAGTATTTGTTGTTAACATTCTTTTTTCATTCGGTTTTTCCAGTTACGGGTCCTTTTTTTAAAGCTGATCGTTTTGTGTTCATTTTGTTTAGTTCTTTTTTCGTAACAGATTTAATGTTTAGTATAGAGCTTACAAAAATTTCTGAGTGTGAGATAGGCAAGAAATAAGGCATGTAGCAACATCAGCACGGAAAAGGGCACTCCTCTAAAAGCAAGGAAGGACAAAAATATTTTAAGTCAAGTGATAGCGATTGTTGTATGAGTCGCACGATTTTTGAACCAAGCACGGGCAACGCCGGGACGTGCTGCTAGTTCTACTATAAATATGTATTATATATATTATTATATATATTACAAGTATTTCAAGATATTCTTGTTTAATATCTTGTATTATGTTCCTTTTGATTTATGTTAATATTTCTAATGGCTTGTCTAATTCGTTCATCAACAATTTAAGTAGGAAAGTCATTACTGATGCAGAAAATTGCTTGAATCTTATAGACAACAGATAACAAGTTATGAATAGGATTTTTAACCAATCGCTGTTGGTTTGAATAAATTCAAACTGATTCGGGTTTATAGCTCCTGACTTTGCAACAGGTTGTGATCAGTCAACTAAAAACTGAGCTCTCCTCTACGCATCTGCGCGAAGCAACTTCCTTTATGCAAAGAGGGACGCGAAGCGTTTCGTTATGTAAATACTCACCGCAAACTAAGTGTTCATGCTGACCTTACTGTGCCATTTATTTCATTTTTTAATATAAACTATGAGCCATGCCGTTCACTAAATATATGAACTTCTTCGATATCAGACACACGTCTGTATAATGTTTATCATGAAAAGCAACACACGGGAAATTCGATTTATATAAAACTTTATCTTCGGAATCAGTATTTGAAAAGATGCAAAAATAAATACAGTTTTAAATTTTAATACTGTTCTTGGAAATTTGTTTCCTATATTAATTGTGATTATGAATAATTACAAATGAAGCTACACATTCATTATTTCTCCGTACAAGCATTGAACAAAGTAAGCAGGTGTATGGTCTCCCGAACCCCGAAGAGAATGATGTATAGCATTTTTTTTAAACTCTTGAAGGCATAGTTTGTCTATATTTCTGAGATGAGGTATTATGTACAGTATTTACATTAGTCGGACTATTGTCCTCATCTTTGTCGCCATATTTGTCCTCAAGGACACATGGCACAGTGGATAAAGGCGTTGGTTAGATCCAGTGACAGACCCAAAGAAGGTGAGTTCAATTCCTGGTTAAGGCAGTGGAGAACTTTCAGAGGGAAAATTAGCAGGAGATAACTGATAACTGACATCCATCAAACATGGCACGTGGAATTAGAACAGTCTACCCCAGCGATCGAAATAAAGGGTTCAGTTCGAAATTCCAACCACCTGAAGAAGGCCGGAGCGTACAACGGCCGAAACGTTATGACAAATATGGCGACAAAGATGAGGACAATAGTCCGACTAATGTAAATACTTGAAGGCATAATTCCTTGTAGATACTAGAAATGTCGACGAAGGGTATGAATAAATAAAACTATGGAGGTTGTGATATCTGTCTTCCAATATGGCAGTGAATGCTGGAAAATTTCCTCAAAGATGAAGAAGAGACTTAAATCAACAGAAATATGGTTCTACAGAAAAAATGCTTAGGATACCATGGAGCGAACATCCGAGAAACGACGAGGTTTTAGAGAATATGAAAACAAAAAGGAACTTATACTTAACATCAGGAATAAGCAGTTGGAACTTTTAGGCACTTAATGAGGAAAGAAGGCTTGGAAAATCTGGCAGAGGAAAACAGCGCATAACATACTTGACCAACTTGAGAAAATGGATGGCGGTTTTCGAAATAACGAAAGGACAAAATTATTAGGTTGGTGCAAAAATAATGACGTAATAATGTCGTTTTTTGACGTATTTTTTAAGGTCAAAAAACGACATTATTACGTCATTATTTTTACACCAACCTAATAATTTAGAGCTGGAATGGACAGGAAGTTGCGGAGAGCCATGATCGCCTATGTCATAAGGGAACACAGCACAGAAAGGAGGTATTAGAAGGGGTTGAAGAGTTCTCAACCCAGCCACAAAGCCTTTAAAAATAATTTTGATGTCTGATCATTTGTTCAGATTTTGGAAAGCGGGTCGGGCCGTAAACTTTTCCGCACCTCCTCGAAACGAGTGCAAAGTGAAGTAATTTGCGTCTCTCACAGAACTGAATTCGTCGATATGATGTAACCAGTAATTTGTTTGCAAAATAGGCCGAACTTGTCTTTTGCTGAGTTTAGAAAAAAAAAGTGACATGTATGTGGTGAATAAATGTCTTTTTTAGTTTCTTACAATTTATTTAATGTTTTATACATTTACTTTTGTAAAAAAAAAAAAGTTGTTCATATGAATATTTTAAACATTTAGTGAATTGCAAGATTTAACACGAGATAATTGACAGAAAAACAGAATATTTAAAAAAAAATGATAAAATTCATGTTAACTAGAAATAGCTGAACACAGTCTGCATATAAAAATCCTGTCTTAACTTAAAATTATTTAAAAAAATATTTCCATAGCATGTAAGTTCGTTAGAATTCCATTGTTATAAAGTCTATTCTACAGAACGAAACAATCTTTGGTAAATCAGTTAAAAGCGCAAAATTCAAATAAAATATTTCTAGTGTGTATTGCATGATAAATCGACATTGAGTCTGGTGACCTATTTAGGGCCATTGGTAGACCACATGTACTGCAGCAGTGGTGTGTCTAGAGCAAAATAACCTGGCGAAACGCATCCCTCTTCAGGTTGGTTGTAATTCAGCGTTGTCCTTGACTACTAACAACAAAAGCGCGGGGAATAACGGCCCACATTTGTAGGAAATTTAAATTAAATTATTTTTTTTACTTCGTTTTTTGTTTTTTTTACTTTTTTTTTACTATAAGTGTTCTTTGTATTTCTTTCTTACTTTCTTTCTTTCTTTGCGTCTTCTTACTTTTCCCTACTCCCTTTTACTTTCAATTCTTTCTTTCTTTCTTTCTTTCTTTCTTTCTTTCTTTCTTTCTTTCTTTCTTTCTTTCTTTGCGTTTTCTTAC